CTCTTTTTTGCTAAATAATTATAATTATGTGGCCATTTGAAATAAAGACTCTATTTCCTAGACCATGGACATCTAGATTATCTGACTGCACCCTTGTAAGGAAGTGTTCTTTTTTTCCCATCCCAGAACGAAGACATGAGCCTTTTTCCTGAGTGACTATCCTGTATCTTAAAATGGAAACAACATTTTTGAAAATGAAAAGGCAGCAAGAAGGAGACTTCACGGATGAATTTGAAATTTCACCTTACCAGACTGGGTCTGGGCACAAATGGATTTCATTTAGATGTTCACCATCCCAATCTGCTCCAAAAAAATCCCCAAAACACCACAAACTCATGAACACATTTTGATCCTGTTTAAGACACTCTTCTTTTATGTTTTGTTTCATTCCCTTCAAAAATTCTCTATCCACAGGATGATCCTTCTAAAAAACCAAATCTTATCATTCAACTCTCCCTGTTGACTCTCGTTTCTGTTGAGAATGAAGTTCCAACTCCTTAGCAAAGCACACAGGTTTGCTCCTTCTGCCCTTGACTTCTATGCAATGATGTCTTCTAATATGGAGGGAGTTGGTGGAGACCACGGTACTTCTGGCCCAAACTTCCTGTCACATCTTTAATAGGGAAGGCAGGCAAAATCTGCATCTCAGGGCACCATCTAGAAAGGAATTAAGATCTAGGCTAATATTTATTAAACTTTAATGATTTTCTAGGTCCAAGAGAACTCTATAGATCAACTCATTTAATCCTCATAATAACTCTGTGAAATAGATACTATTATTATTTGTACTTTAGGAGATTGAGACACAGAAAGACTAAATTGAATATTTCAGTGTTGCTCACTTAATAAACATTAGGGCCAGGGTTTAATCCAAACAACCTAGAAATGGTCTACTTGACTATTGTGCTACAAGTTGCCTTGTAGATATAGAAAGCTAATTCTAACAGCCTGAAAGATTTTTCAGGGCTCAATTTTTTCCTTTCCATATCTGTCTTCAGAAGTAGAGGCCTTCACAATTTCCATGTTTCCTAAGATTATTTCAGCAAACAGGGTGGGGGGCTGTTTTATGATTCCCTCATTTACTCCTAAGTCATTAGAAGTATGAGCTCATTTCTGGTTGACTTAGATACTGTACAGTTCTAGGAACTATCTAGCACTAATTCTAACATAGACTTCAGTAAATTCCTACTAAGAACTCTGAATGCATCTGTGATGTAATAACATCAAGCTTCTAAATATTTTCAGTTTAACCTTTACTTTCCCAACATGAACTAAATCATGACGACATTTACTAGGAATTTCCTCAGCCCAGAGCAAAGTGTAGCACATGAGTTTCAACTGGGCAGAAAGGGGAAATTTGCTCTGTGTAAACGTCCGAAGGGCCAGAAAGATTTAAATCAAATCCGTAGTTCTGTAACCTTTATATTATTTTTATGCTTGAGTATATATAAGCAAGCAAGATTAAGGGCAAAGAAAAAAAAAAGAATGAAAATTGTGGGGCATTTTCTGAATTCTTTCTTCCATTATTCTTTGGAAAGGCACAAAGCCTATTATTTTCTATGTTCACGGATATGCCAAGTCATAGAATGTTGTTTGACCAGTTCTGGGGTGTCAAAAGTTGAAATTCTCTCCAATTAATTGCTTACAACATTGCTAGAATTACTTCATACAGAGTTCTGAGAAAACGTAAGTAGAATGTTCCAGCAGGAGTGAATTCTTTGCTGTTATGGTATTTTACTGATATTTTGGGCTTGTTGAATGCCTGATACTTATTGATAACCAGAATACAGTTGATTATACAGCCTTGTTCCAGAAAGGATTAAACAATTTATTAAGATATGGAATCACCTCTTTGGGATGCTGGGCACGGCTTACAGAATTGTGGCCTAGCGTGGTCAATGCTATGATGTGGTCTGTAGGTGCCCAGTGCTTAGGTATTGGATCATACAGCTGCCTGGAATTTTTCCTCCTTCTCAACCAAGTTTGTACCTGTGAGGCAGTCACAATCCCAAGAACACCAGTTGCAGAGAGACAGGGCCACCCAGCTCTATAGCCTCCCCTGGGATTACTTGGAGTCTTTGTTGGACTTGTGTAGAAGATTAGTTGCTTCCACCCTTCAATCCTTTGTTCCTCGCCCTTTATGGATGTGGATCCCTAGGGACTATCCCCCAAACCTGCTCACAAACCTCTATCTCAGGGTTAATTTTCTAGAGAAGCTGATCTAAGACATGTGGGTTCAAATCTCTCCATCTTCTTCCCCTCATTGAGTCATCCAGGCAATGTTGCAATGCGAGTTTGATTACACACCATCTTTCCTTTCAGTATCTTTCTTTTCTCTTTTCCCCTGCTCTGTCCTTGATATTTAAGGACACCCCACTGGGGAACTCTTCTTTTTTCCCTCACTGATATTTTATTGTTTTGGTACCGGGGATTGAACCCAGGGGTGTTTAACCACTGAGCCACATCCCCAGTCTTTTTTTGTATTTTATTTAGAGACAGAGTCTCACTGAGTTGCTGAGGCTGTCCTTGAACTCAGAATCCTCCTGGCTCAGTCTCCTGAGCCATTGGGGTTATAGGCATGTGCCCCCCACTCCAGGCTGGCTCTCACTAATATTACTAGGACTTATTTGCATCCTACTTTGTTAGTCCTTTTTGTGAGCCTGACCCCAAACAAGTCTGCTGAAGAACCTTAAAAGCAAGGCATATGAGGTACTTGTTAAGCAAACACAAGTTCACAGAGAAACTGATTTCTGTGATTTAACACATTGGAGAAAGTCTGAGTTAAGGAAATCTAAGTTGCTGCAAGAGTTCCCAGTGTTATAAATGCTAACATAAATTGTCAACCTTCAAATTATCTATTACAGAACTTTCTTTTCCCCTTTTTATTGAGGTAAAATTGACATAACATATAATTAACTATGTTCAAGTGTACAATTCAGTGACATTTAACTCATGGGCAGTGTTGTATAATGGTTACCTCTGTCTAGTTCCACAACATTTTTATGACTCCAAAAAAAATTCTGCACCCATTAAGAATTCATGTTCCATTGCCCTCCTACAAATCTCTAGCAACCATTCACCTGAACACAGTTCATCTGATTCCTGTCTCCATAGATTCTGGACACTTGATATAAGTGGGATAATATAACATATGACTGTATGTTTGCATTTTATTGTCTTGGACATTCTTTGGGCCTCCTGTCTCTTGTTTTATGGTGACTGCTTTTGCTGTTCTATGTGGATCTCAATCAGGTTCAGATCTCCTAGAAACAGGATCAATTAACCCCTTCAAGTTAAAATGCTATTGAACAGTATTCTACCTCAGTGGTGACTTGATGTCTAGCCTCAACTACTACTGTTAGAATCAAATGACCCAAAGTATGGCAATTTTTCATGAGAGTGGTAGGTCTGGGTGTGGTAGTCACTTTACTCCTGAATTCTAATTTAGCACAGACAGCATGAGAAGTGTGGGTGCCAGATTATCCAAACCAAAACTCATTTGAGAAAGAAAGGAGGAAGGTTTTAATAACAATAGGGACCAACCAGTGCTGCCCTGGGAAGATCAGGATGGATGTTACTTTCATTAAAACAAAAAGTTGATACATAGATGTATTATTTCTGAAGAATAAAACACCGAGTCCCTGAATGCCCCCTTTTTTGTTCACAAAAAAAATACCTAGTCAAGTTAAGGAAACAATGAGAGCAAGCCTAGGCAGGAAAGTCCAGATATATATTATGTTGAAGGACACTGGCTTTCTCCTTTGCATACTGGGAACCCGGCAAGTTAGTGTCATCTGTAGAAAGTCACTTTCTTGCATGCACACTAGAATAGTTGCTCCTAGGGATTCTCCCCAAAGATACACCCAAAGGTGACCTACAAGCAAGCCAGTACTGATGATGTCACTGCCTCTGCACCCTTATATGAAATCTCTTTCTGAGTGGGGACGGGCGAGGAACATGGGGCACTGCAGAAAGGATATGCGTCATTCCTCCAGATGGCTGTCACTGGACACAGTGCCGTGAGAGAGAGGAGGTGTTCCTTAGCAGAGCACCTTGAGGGTCAGAGATGCTGTCTGTCAGTTCTTGGCCACTGAGCTCTTCCTAAAGCAATCACTGATGGTTTTAGTCAGGTTTGCTTTGCTGTGGCTGAAGCACCTGCAAAGAACAACATGGAGGAGGGAAAGCTTATTTTGGCTCAGGGTTTCAGAGGTTCAGGCCACGATCAGTGAACTCCATAGCTCTGGGCTTGAGATCAGGCAGAACATCATGGCTAAAGGGCTTGGCAGAGAAGAGCTGCTTAGGACATGGAAGACAGGAAATGGAGATCTTGAGTGACTGGAGCCAGGGATAATATAACCCTTAAAGGTACACCCCGAGTGACCTACTTCCTCCAGCCATGCCCTACCTGCCCCCAGTTACCACCCATTAATTCATTCAAATTATTAATCCACTAAATGGATTAATGTACTGATGAGTTTTCCCAACTTCCATACTCTAATCATTTCACCTCTAAACATTCCTGCATTTTCTCACACATGAGCTTTTGGGGGATGCTTTCCTAGCCAAACCATAACATTGATCTCTTGTAAGCCTGGTTCCATGCTGTTTCCAGGCACTTTTTCTGGCTTTCTTGCAATCTACCCCACTGTCCTGGCACACCTGGGCTGTGAATGTAATAACAGATTGACGTTTAAGCCTAAGAGTGCCGTGGACCAGCAGTGGGTCAGGAGTTAGCTTGTTTTCTCCATAGGCTAAAATTTCCCATCTATAAGTGTGGCTATAATGGTTTCCTCTACTAGGCTATAGTTTAAATCTTTATCTGTCTCAAAACTGTCTGCTCAGTATCAGGCTACCCTAACAGCAGCATGAGGGTAAACTCCTGCCTCTGTTCAACCGCATGTCTGCATTGGTCACAGGTTTGGCACATGGGAGGCACCCAGTCTCTCTTTATTCAGTGAAAGCATAAAGGGATACACCCAAGCATGCCAGCTGATGCTGATATCTGTTTTATTGGAATTTTCCAGAGAAAGACACTATACATCATTCTAGTTCCTATCAACAGCAGTAGAATTTGTAATGTGGGTGTCATCCAGCCAATGTCCTGAAGAGTTGTTTTCTCCAGAGTTCTCAGGTTGCTGTAGATGTTGAATTCAATCATTTCTATAGCTTAGCTTTAGGGAAAACACCCACATATACACTGACACATACAAATTTCTTATTTTAAGCAAGTTGGAACTTGAAAAAAATAACACTGTTTATTAGGGAGATTGAATCATATAGACACAATTATTTATTTACTAACACATACATCAAATCATTAAATGTGGGGTACCTATTAAGCAATAGGCATGGTCGTATGCATTGAGGATGCATAAGTGATACAAAGAGAGATGTCAGACCTACTAAATTAGATTTACTATAGCTGGGGGAAAGAAATAACCAAAATATTAAACTAATAAAAATAATACACATAATTTTTATAGTGATAGTACTTTCAAAAAAATTATAGCAGACTATAGAGAGCAAAAAGACCAGGTAGTGAGGAAAGTTGTTTTTATTTTTATTTATTTATTTATTTATTTTTAGAGAAAGTGACTGTTAGCTTGAAACTTTAGGAACGATAAGAACTGAGTCATGTAGAACATTTTTGAGGAGATGTATAGAATGTGCAAAGGCCCTGGAGCTGAAAGTGCTAGAATGTGCGGAGAATCCCATCCTAGTCTGTTTAAAGCAGAACAAGCAAAGCAGATAAGGAGGTGAGACCATCAGAAGAAGCAAGAGCCAGATCATGGAGAACTTTCTAGGTCATGAGATGGAGTTTGGGTTTTATTCTAAGAGGAGTCAAATTTAAAATTTTTAATTTTAAAAAAGAGACTTGTTTGGTGAGGATAGACTTCAGGAAATGAGAGAGGAAAGATAGAGACAAGTTAGAAAGTGTTTGCAGCAATCTATCTGAGAAATGATAAAAGATCACAAGAAGCAATTGGTTTGAATGCAGAGCAGAGAGAGTTTGCTAATAAATCAGACACGGAATGTTAGAAAACTGGATGAATCAAGAACAGCGTCTTGGATTTTGACCTGCACGACTGGAAAACATTATTTGCTGTGACACTATTGGCTGAGATGTGGAGATGTGAGGCTGAACAAGTTTGGGGATATCAGAGAGTGGGGAATCAAGATTCTGTCCCCAACATGTCCTGGGTAAGATGCCTATTAGAAATCACGTTAGCTGTTGTTAATACCAATATAGGTTTTGTAAGGAAGAGTAAGGCCAGTGATGTAATTTTAGGAGTCATTATGATAGAGAGGCTATTTAAAGCATGGTCTGGATAAAATGGTTAAGGTACAAGAGAGGGAGGGGAGAATGAGTGAGTTCTAGATAACAGGAAGCAGAGAAGGATCTGATGCATCCTGGGAGATAGGAGGAACCTGCAGAGCATAGTGTCCTGGTCACCAAGAGGAAAAAAATAAATAAATAAACATGCACAAAAGGAGAAGGGGGGAATTCATTGTCTCAAATGCTGTCATTAGATCTGTTGAAATTGAAGGTACATCAAATAGCAATACCTATGTACAGGTCTAAGTTTAACTGTGCAAAAAGGCCTGAGAGTATATTCGAGAGAAGATGAATGCTACATTTTTGTCCACCAACTTAAGTATATAGGAGGAACATTTTCTTCAGTTACAACAAGCAAGCAGACCGTAATGGGAAGGCACAGATTGCTTGGTGGAATTTTATAAAAGCAGAGCTAACATTTAAATGGATTGTCCAACTGCAGGTCTCTTCTTGAGGTGCTGCAAAGCATATTACTGTCCTTGTTCTTTAATTTTATAATTGCAATTTTAAGTAACTTTATTTTTTCTTCCAGTGTCCTACTTAGGATAATAGGAAAAACTATCCTTTTCCAGGCAAAAAAGTTTGATGTTCCTAATTTGGCTTCTTTTCTTTGGGCTTACGTGAGTCTGTGTTTATTTTGGAATTTTCTGAATGGAATGTCAAGGGTCAGTGTCTGTCATTTGACCTGAGGGAAATGGCAGATTTTTTTTTCGTGTGTGTTTTTCTTTCCGTTTTCCACGGAGGGAAAAGATGACAATATATTTGCCTCATCTTTTTCAGCTTCAGGCTTTAGGATTAGTGCAATGGCCAGTATTTCAGAACCCTACAAGGTAATGGATCATGCGAGCTCCAGGCATAGTGAGGTCTTAATAGCTTGGAAATAACTTTAGGTAACTCAAATAAGATCTCCAGGTCTCCCTGGATGTGATCTCATGGAGAAATTATCCAACAAAGCCGGATACTAGAGGTGTCTTACACAATGCCAAAGGCAGAAAAATTCCTGAAGGAAGAGAAAATCAAGTTCTACAGGGTGACCAGTCTACTCCCATTCTTGTCATGAATATTACACTAGAAACTGAGAATACATATTCTAACTTTTGGTTCCACCTTGGCTCAGCTATTTGATCTCATCTATACCTCTCAGTCCCTCTGAGTTCCACTTACTACATTTTGTAACCTACGTTTCTAATACCCTCCCTGTCCCTCATGCATGTGAGGTCAAATATCAAAATGAGCCAATGTACATAAATGCGTTTTGTAAATTAAAATTACTTCAGGAACACATTAAAAAAATCAAACCTCAAATTCTTGATGTCTCAAAGTGTTTTATAAAATAATCCTTGCTATTGTGCTTTGATTTTTAGGGTTTCTTCTCATTTTGAGCCTTGGCTACCTTCATCTCTGTTAAGTAAGTCCCTTCACCACCCCTCACTCCCAAAGACATACGTCAGCAGCAACTTGTCATTCTTTACTCTACACAGAAATGGTGACAAACCGTGAACTATTCTACTTCCTTTAAGTTCTTGAGTTTCTTTCTCTGTGCTGTTCATCACCTCTGTTTCTCCTCTTGGTCATTAACCTCATCAAAGTCCATTGCTAGATTGTTCTAACTGCTCCATTGCTGTAGCTTTTTGCCCTCCAGTGCTGCAGTCTGGCTGGGCACAAATCACGAGCCACTGAAGCAGGAACAAACTTTATTTCTGAACTCCACCAGCACACTCAACACACGCTACTGGGAACTCTCCCCAATGCCACTAGGCTCCTCCAGGAACCACCAACCGGAAATCCCTCCTCCAGCACTTCCCCAACCAATGCGAACTCTTCAGGAATCCCCGGGAGAGCTCAATGGGAACTCAACGGGAACTCTGCCAGAACTCAAAAGTCATCATCTTAATGGCTCAATGGCGTCACCTCTCAACCACTACTTCTGGCAAAAATGCCATGCATCATCCCGACTTGGTGGTGGCCCTCAACACTCCAGTCCATTCTTCATGCAGTTATCTTAGAATGTTCCTTAAAACAAACAAAAAATTATATATATGATTATATATGATTTCAGATTTATGTGGCCATTGTTTGCTAAAAATGTGTTGAAATCTTCCTAGAGTGAATGCAAAATATATATATATATATATATATATATATAAACAAAATCCCCAGAAACCATGATATCACTTCCCATTTAAAAATTCACATACAGCTTTGCAATGATAGCAACAGAAAAATAATCCTTGGTGTGTTTTTTAAGGACTTCCATGATCAGACTTCTCCTGGCAACATTATACATGGACTACCCGTATCAGTTCTTGTCCCCAAATCTCCAGGCAAGCTGAACTCCATGAACTACCTTGACTCATCAATGGTTTTCTACCTTCACCTTCTCACCTTCTCATACTTGAGAACCTCCTATTATCAGACTTCTCATCTTTTAGGTTCTCGTGGTATGGCTCTCCAGATTCTGCTTTGATCTCCCTTGCTGGTCCCTCATCTAGTCACAATTAAGACTCCTTTTTCCACGCTTCAACTGTGCCCAGCTTAGTCCCTGAAATGTGACTTCACATAGGTGTTTACATGAAGGTCTCTCTGACCTTGAGCTCCTGCATCGTAAACCTCACCTTATTCTTTGTTTCACTCCCATTCCTGAAACCTTGTCATTACTTAACGGGAAGAATGGAGGGAGGGAGGGATTGTGCACATCAATTTATTTAAAACATTTATAAATTACATGTGCTGTTAATATATAAATCAATAATGTCTACCCACCTACCAGGCAAAATTTGGTGTTGGAAACATTTCTTTAAAAACATTCTGCCAACCATAGCCATGTTTTTAGGTTGCCCTTGACAAAAGGTTTCACAATCCTTGTTATTTTTCTACCTTTCCCTAACCTTCAGACTTTACCTGTCTTCTGAAAGCTGCAGCTACTGATATAGAACTTAAAATAGAGGATGCCAGGATCCCATCTGGAATTCACAAAATCTTGGCCAATGCTACTCTCAGGGGTCCTGGATATCTTTTAATCCATTCAAATTAACTCAAGAGCATGTGGGACCTTAAATCCATACTCTGTGTATTATTGCAGGTGCTTGTGAGCAAAGAAAAGCACCTACTTATTACATTTGAAATGCATTTTGAACAAAAGCTCTCTTCTGGTATCTCTACAATAAAGAATCCATCAGACCTCGGAAAGTTCATATGCTGACATCTGTTCTCTGAATGGAATCCACTGGCCAGAAAGAACTGTTTCTGCCCTAGTTTTCCTAGCTTCATGTTAGTGACTTCAGATCAGCTCCAAATCATCCATCCTGGGAATATTTATACCACAGAAGTTGGTATATACATCTGGCTTTTTCTTCCTTGTCTAGAGAGTCAGTTCCAAAACATGTCACTTTCCAGATATTTCCTTTTTGACACCCTCTTCTCTCCCACTCCAATTCCCAATCCATGCTTGAGTAGCTGTATTGCAAATAAAATCAGTTCAGAGAACTTGTGTCTCCACATAAGGATTTATTTGTTCATGTACCTCAGTCCAGGAAGTTCCCTTATTGTGCCTTTCTAGGAAGGCACTGAAAGACCATGTCTTCTCTTTATTGATTTCAGGTTTATGTGGCCATTGTTTGCTAAAAAGGTGTTGAAATCTTCCTAGAACACCAAGACTATTAAAAATGTCCATGACAACTGGTGGGAGGTAGGGAGGGAAGGAGGAAATGCTGAGGAATGACAATGGCCAAATTATATTGTGTGCGTTGTGAATATGTAACAACAAATCCCATCAATGTGTACAATTATAATACACCAATAAAAAATGAAAAACAAGTGTCTACGAAAAATTCCCCATTCTGGACTACAGTTATAAGGAAACACACATACACATAAACAAATCTTTACCATGTTCCCCTTATCTTTTTTCCTTCTCCAAACTTCTACCAATCAATCTTAAGAAGAAAGCTTTAAAATTAAGAAGGTAATAAATTCAAATGCCTTCAGCCCCTAGTTTGGGGAACTTGATTATACAGTCCATGGTACACTGCTTTGAAATGGTGTCTTAGCATGGGATTTACCATGATGCTAATGAGGCTTCAGCTTCAAAATTCTTCACTTTCCTAAGAAACTTCTCAAATAACAATTACAGGTATATTCACAGTCATGTGTCTTTGCAATTTTCCAAAGTAAGTTTGTTTTTCTTCTTGTATTACTTGCCTTTATGCTATATAAACTCAGGCCCCACAAAACCTGGACCCACCCACGTTGCTTTTTGCCTACTTTATTTAAAGTTGAAATCTTGCTTCCTTCTGCCCTTCTCATTAACTATATGCCCGTTTTTTTTTTCATCCTAATAAATTCACAAGGAAAGCTCTATGTCATGGAGATACTGGTTTTTAAGTTTTATGCTATAATTAAGAAAAGAAAATTAACTTCTAATGTAATGTGAAGACACTCAAATGCTGTTCCAGGGAAAAGATAAACTTCTTGGCAAGGAAACCTGGAGCTCAGTTATCTTACTCTGGACTTAGTCTGAAATGCCCAGTCTTCCCAATCTCTACAGTCCACTGTCCTCTAGCCAGCCTTCTCCTAAAGCTTGATCAATTTCTGCTTATCCTATCATTTCAGAAGCTTTCTTGGGTTAAGAATCCCTCTCTTCCTGGGTTATGAACTCCCCCTGAATTTTGGATTTCACCCTACAGTGGTCTTACCTCACCATTAGATCATGAACTCTAAAAGGTGAGCAAGGGTCAAACATATTACCTTCTCTCATGACTGGCACATGGGCCCTCCATTCATATTTGCCAAATAAATACTTGAAAATATAAAAGAATATTTTTGCTCAGGATTCAGGAGACCCCAAACACTTATTGTTTCTCTATCACTAAGAAGCTTGTGAGCATTGAACAAACCCATCGATTCTTGGGACTTCCTTTTAGCATATACATATGCATTCAGCGAAGACAAGGGCTGAAATTTACCCTTCAATTCCTACACATCTGGAGCCGGTCTCTGCAAGAAAAAAAATGAGAATTCTCTTTTAAAAATAACACATTTTAAGCAAAGACTAAATAGCTGCAGAAAAACTGGTTGAGAAGCAGTGGGTTGGTGTTGAGAAGGCCTGGGGATTTTGAATGTATCTGAGGCTCAGCACACTGATAGTTCTATGGACTAGGCCCCAGGACAGACAATATAAATGACTTAACAAAGTTTGTTTTTCACTTTTCCTCTACTCATTTCTTTGTTGGACTTTGGTATCTCAACATGTCAGCAGCATTAGCTTTGGCAACTTGAGCAGAGACAGGAGATGGAGTGGTGTTGGTAGGAGATGACATCTTGGTAGCATCAGGAGTCACAGAACCAGTGGCCTATTTGGTAGGTACTGGAGGCCAGGCAGACTCTCTCTGGATGTTACAGAGAGTCAAAGACCCCATCACAGTGAGAGGGAGTGAAGTAAGGAAAATGCAAGGCACCCAGTGTCCTATGGATACAATTCACAATATCCTTGTCACAATCTCTCTAGACCTGTGCAAAACTGTACAGAAAGGTAAGCAGGGCTCTGTGTCTCAAAGAAGGAAAGAAATGTGGTTTTATTTTTATTGTGTGGATCTCCTTTTGCTCAAAGGAGTGTTCTGAAAAAGTTTTAGGGATCTATCTGGAATTCCAAATTATAAATAATTAACCTTACGCAAAGGATGTGATACATATTCACACCTCAGATATTAAGTGAATAGAGCTAACAATAAATGTCCCTATGGCTGTGAAATTGGGGGACTTAGTGCAGAACCTAATTATTTTCCCAATGTAGTAGAAAAACTTTAGAATTGGGCTGGTATCTGAAACTTCACAGATGAGTTAATTTAGTCCTATTATTTAGCGTATATGAGTCTCAGTTTCTTTAACTGGAAGATGATAATATCGCCTTTACAGGGTTGTCAGGCAAGGAGGGTATCTAAACACCTAGGCAGTGTGCCTGGTCTTGAGAGGTGTCTAATGAACATGAGTTCCTCCTCTGTGCCTTCATCTCTGTTAGTAACAGACCTTCTCCAGCATCCTGAGAAAATAGACATTCAACTGAGAGAGGACATAAGGGTGAGAGGAAATGAACTTCACGTGGTTCTAGAAGCTCCTTTTTGACATTGATTTCATTTTTTTTTCAGGAATTAAGGGATCTTTGGGGGAGAGAAGAAAGAGACAGTTTTGGTTTCTAGTCACTGCCAACAATTTAATGTTTTCCTTTGACTTTTTCTTCATTTTCCCTTCTTTCTGGCTCAACACCTTGCACTTGCTCAGATTGCTGAAGGCTTTGGTTGTGATCATCTCCTTCAACCGATCAAAATCATAGGTCACCTAGCAATCATCTCAAAGCCTGTTTAAAACCCACAAGGGTATATTTTCCTTTTTCTAGCTCATGTAAATATGATATTCATGCATATGCAAAGGGCCTTTGCTATCCATGGATTTCATTAACATATTAAAGTTGTTAACCATGCCACAGGGACACCAGTGAAGTATCTGGTGGAATTATGAACCTAGGGCTTCAGTGTTTTATTCCAGATGAATCCCAGGCAGACATTTCCATACTCATGCTCATCATCCTTTGCTCTGATTGTGTTTGAGTGACTGATAAGGGAGTGTGTATGGGCTTATGTGTGGATACACACAATAAGGTCTAACACACCCAGTGAATGACACAGGGCTTGTGAGCTGTGGTAGAATTGTCAGCACTTAAGTGACAGCTTAGCCACATTAACAATGTGATCTTGGGCAATTGACAAAGCTTCAGTTTTGTTATCTTTTGAATGAGACATATTTGCAAAAACATATATGGAAGATATATGAAAAAAACAGAGCATCCAAAAATAACAGTAGCCATGCTATAAATTCCATATACATGAAGCATATGTTAGATAATTCATTAAATTGTTGTAATCAAATAGGTTTTAGGAGAAACCTCTTATAAATAATTGTTCTGATCTTTTGGTAATAATATAACCCTTAGAAACAGACATAAAATTTTCATAAATTATTTACTAATGAAGAAAACAGGAAAACACCTTCTAAAAAAAACATGTTATTCCTTTATCGATTCTTTCCAACTCAGTCATTTGGAGTTAACAATAAAAACAATATTGATTCATAATATTTCCTAAAACCCACCCTGAAGAAATTCTCTAGGGCCTTTTATATTAACAGAAGAAACAGGCTTAGCAGTATCGCTTCTTCCAAAAATGATCTGGCAGAAAACAATATCCTGCCCGGAATTCACGTTTCTTCATTTGTGAAAATAAACAAACACAAGTTCATTTCCTCCCAAGTTTTCTCAAGATCCTTTCTCCTGATTTATCTCTCAGAAATCAATTTCTCATAACCTCTTTACTTACTTTGATGAAAAAGACCAGACAGATGCTTGTAAAGGTGGAAATGAAACATTTTAAGAGCTAACTCATGTCATGTGGATGTTTCATGACTAAGTCTGAAGGAGCTTAATGAAATTCTCCATAGTAATTATTTCTGGCAACTGCTTTCATACATGACTGGATAATTCTCATTATTTTGCTTATGTACATTTATTATGTTTCCTACAACAGATATATATTACTCATGAAATAAAACACCTGAAATTCAAAGTGAAAAGTATGGTGCTTTTAATGTTTTAGCCAATATACTTTTCTCAGAACTTGTGGCCATTTTCATCATGTTTTTATGGGCTTGGTTCTTGACTGACATTACTTTATTGAATTCTCCTAACAATATCTACTCACATTACCCATTATATCATTGAGGAAGAAAAAACCCAAATATTTTAACAAATGTGTCTGTTTTAGTCAGCTTTTTCATCTCTGTGACCAAAAGACCTGATAAAGACAATAGGGGTTTTCCTTTTTCTAGCTCATGTAAATATGATATTCATGCATATGCAAAGGGCCTTTGCTATCCATGGATTTCATTAACATATTAAAGTTGTTAACCATGCCACAGGGACACCAGTGAAGCATCCGGTGGAATTATGAACCTAGGGCTTCAGTGTTTTATTCCAAATGAATCCCAGGCAGACCATTTCTATATTCATGCTCATCATCCTTTGCTCTGATTATGTTTGAGTGAGTGATAAGGGAGTGTCTTCTATAAAGACCACATAGAAGCAGAAAATTTATTTGGTGCTCAAGGCTTCAGAGGTCACAGTCCATAGACTGTTGACTCCATAGTTTATGGACTCAAGGTGAGGCAGAACATCATGGTAGAAAGACATGGCGGAGGAGAGCAACTCAGGACATAGCAACAAGAAGCAGAGAGCAAGAGAGAGCTCTGTTCACCAGTTACAAATTATATACCTCAAAGGCACACCCTTAGTGACCTTCCTCCTCCAGCCATACCCTACCTGCCTACAGTTACCACAGGTCAATCCATATCAGGGATTAAGCCACTGATTAGGTTATAACTCTCACAACCCAATCATCTCACCTCTGAGCATTCTTGCATTGTCTCTCATTTGAGCTTTTGGGAGACACCTCATATCCAAACCAAAACAAGATTGAAGTCTCACAGCTAGGAAGAGGTAATGCCAGCATTTGGCCATTATTAAAATGAGAGTTTCAGTTTTTAATCTTCTTATATACATAGGTGGCAAAGCAATTATTTGAACTCAGTTTGTCTGATCAAAATCTGTTTTTAAACCACATTTACTCCATCAGACAACTCCCCCAAATGAAAACCCCAGAGGCTGACTAATGTGGTTTCTTTTTGAAGGTACAGCTAAACTGAGGCAAATTTTACTGAAAATGTCCATATAGTTGGTTAATTTATATTCACTTTTTATTGTATGTAGATTTCTAATATTTTTTAATTCTGTATCATTTAAACTTCCTTAATTTGAGTAAATTCACTAAATATTTCTAAAAAAAAATACAAAACAAAAAAACTAATGAGAAAAAAAAATAGTATTTTCCCTGCCAATTGAATGGCCAATCTTTTGTTCTTTCTGAAATTGATGAATTTTATGAGATAAGAGTTCAGGCTTTCTGATCTCAGAACAACCATAAATGATACCTTTGTTTGGAAAATTTTAAGGGCACTTTCCAAAGTTACTAAATGATAAGACAATATGTGAGAGATGGGGAAAAATGATCACAATGATAACAGAGGGACATTAGTGAATCCCAAGATATGGCCAATTAATATAATTACATTATGCATTAATAAGCAAATATAGAAGAAATAATTTAAAATAGACATTTTAGAATATCTACTATTCTAAATATTTGTAGGCAGCACTTGAAGCTCTTAAGTGTCTCTGGGCTACCATCTAATAACCATTAATTGCCTTTTAAGCCAAACATATTTTGACCTCCTTTGAGATTTAAAAACTTGTCACTAAAACCTTTCCCTACCATGCTTATATTTCCCCTTCTCAGATGTTGGTTTTTGCTTTATTAAAAAAAAAATCTACTTATTTTCATTTAGTTCGGGTTGAGAGGCAAGAAGGGCTCGCCCCTCTTTTGTGGGGTTCCAGCACTGATGTCAAGTTTAACTGAATAGTTCAGGGAATGAATCTGATAGCAATAAGCATGAATCAGTCCAACTGCCGAGGAACAGATTATAAAACTGGTCACGTGTTTTTAAAGCAGTCCTAGGTTTCAATTTTGGAAAGTTGGATTTAAGAGTAAAATCAATGCCTGGAGGCTAATGGAGAAAGAATAAAGTCTTACCTGCTCTGCCTTCATCATATTAAATTTCCACCATCTCCAGCCTCAATTTCAAGCAGAATTAACTTGAGAATGAGACATTCAGGAGACCAGGGAATTGACAAAGAAGAGGGAACCCAACTCATTGGTTCAAACTGTATAGTAGTGGCTGGGGAGGACATGTTGCCAATTTGATAAGCAAATCAGTTCTACTCTGAAGCCCATCACAGTTCTGAGCAGAACGATTTTGCATTTTATTATTGTTGATTTCTTGACCTGGAGCCAAAATAAGCCCCTGAACTGAGTATGCAGTTTTGTGTCTAAGGCATTTCAGTGTCTCCACCGTGTCAAAGAAAAACACGTACTTTCCCCCTGTTGCTATGTATATTGGCAAATATCCTATCCAAAGAATTGTGCTCCAAGAACTCTGGAAACACCTGCCAGCAGAAAACTTGGGAGCTTTGTTTAAACAAGTGTACCTGCCAACTTTCCAGTACTGTTGATTTTGCAGAAATGAAAAAAAACGTGGACTATTTTAAAATCTACTTGATGGATAACAGGAATGGATCCATGGAGATGAGGCATGGAATGTGCTTAGAATCATGTTTACCTTTTATTTTCTACTTTTTTTTTTAACATAATGTAGTCTGAGCCCTGTGCAACAAAGCTGTAGTGCTAATCTCCCTTCAGCACTGGGTCTACCAAGTGGCTGTGAATACTGAGAATATTTGGGCTGGAATTCAAGACACTTGGCAGAGCAGTGTTTTTAAGAAACACTGTGGTAATCCAAAGCAACTAGGCTCTGTGACAGGTATAAGCATAAAAACATGTCCTGTAGGTTATCATGAGTATGCAGATTCTTTCTATAGTATCTTCTACAGCATAGTACTGATTGCCCAACTTGGACATTCTCAAGCATTCTCAAGTCTTGGAGAGTAATTCCAAATCTGAATGTTAATTAGCCTCTACCATAATAAACAGTTCTGATCTCAACTCCTCTTGTCCTATTAACTATCATCGATGAACATCTAATAAGCAAGGTGTTCTCTTGGATTATTAAATAAAGGTATATGGATGTATAAGTCTTAATAACATAGAAATGCATACTCAGGACAATAGGATTTAGTGTCATTTGATTTTAATCCCCATAACTAGTGTGTGGTTATTTGAACATAACTGAACTGAAATTGGGGGAATTGGAAAGATACCTTACAAAACATTAGGAGGTCACACTAAACTTCAGTTGTTTCCTTGACTGAGCAGGATAGGGTGAAGCTTTCTAGACAGGATCATTGTTCTGCTCCAAAGGCACATCCATCTGAAGATGCTATCCTTTGCTTGACTGGAAGGCAGAAAGTTGAAAACCTCTTTATCAGTTTGTTCTGCTGGCCTACCAGGAACAGGTCCAAACCATTCTGAGTTTCTTAGGAAAGTTACTTTGATTCTGAGTTCCTCAGTTTTCACATCTATACAATCCAAGAATTAGTTTGAGTGTCATTTAGCTATCACATTAATACCACCCCACCTGCAAAACTCGGGAACTTAAAGCAACAACCATTTGTTCTCATGAGACTCTCTGTCGGTAGGGGTGGCTCAGCTTCAGGCCACTATGGCTGGGGTGGCTTTTCTTGACACTGAGGATCTACAGGTCAGTTCTGTCCCACTTGCCATTGACTAAACAAGTCACTTGACTGACCCTTAAGTCAAGGAGTGAAGAACTAGATTCCATTCATGAAAAGGCATGGCCGGGGTTAATAGAAGGAAGAGTAAAGAATTGGGGTCAATAATCCAATCTACCCCAGGCTAGTTCAGTGTGTTCTAAATTGGGGGGTTCTTATACCCTGCCATAGAGATTTATCAAATAGAATATGTTGCAGTATCCCCACATTTTAAGAAAGGAAATCTATTTGTTATCTATCTATCTATTATCTTTCATCTTTCTGCAGATCGCCTAGGGAACTCCTAAAAAATTGATTTTTGGAATTAGTACATTTAAGCATCAAGTTGGGAGCTTGTAAAAATTTAGATCCTATGGTTATTTCTAATACATTCTGATACAGTAGAACTGAGGTGAGTGGTCTAGGAAATTCCATTTTAAATCAAACTCCTAGTACAGGGGCTATGCGAATTTTGGATATTCTAGAATCCCAGAATTCTAAGCAGCACCTCTATTTTGACAGCAAATATAGATATCATGTACTAGCACCATTTTACTGAGTCAGACAACATGTCAGTTGAAATAAATTACTGTTGCTATCCCAGCTGCCACATCCGACAGGGACCGAGACCCCTAGCCCCAGCCAATGCAATTAGAGAAGGTAAAAGCAGGAAAGAATAAAGAGTATCTCACCAATGTCTGGATACTACAAGACTTATCTCAAGAACTAAAGGCAAGTTCTGATTCTTAGCATTTGTTTTAGAAGGTTAGTATTAACATGTAGGTATCCCAGGCCTTGAAAACCTCAAGTGAAACTTCAGTCATTTGATGTATCAACCAAGATTATACCAGGGAAGCAGAATCAGAAGAGAATACATGTATGTATGCATGTATGTATGTACCTCTTCTTCTATCTATGCAAACATTAGTATGTGTGATTTGGAAGTTGGATGTGCAGGTCTGCAGTCCATGGGGTGGCCACAAGGAAGGGTAGGCTAAGAACTGTTGGGCAGAACAGAAAGAATTTTTTCCTCCTCTGGGAAATCACACTTGTATTAAGGTCTTTCAATGGAATGAATCAGGCCCAAGCAGATTAGAGAGGATAATCTCCTTCACTCAAAATTAATAGATCACAGGTGCTAATCACATCTACAAAATAAAGGTATTTTGTAGCAAAACTTAGTTTGGTGTTCGATTGAATAACTGGTATAATAACTTTGCTGAATTGACAGGTAGAACTGACCATCATACTTGAGGATTTTCTCTTTTTGATCTGAGTGACATTTGTGTGTCACCTATATTCTTATGTAACATTTTTAATGAACTCATTTTTTTCTTATATTTAGGCTCCTTGTATGTAATAATAACTATGAAATTTATGTTTTGCTGTGCAACTAGTTATGTGCATTTTAAAAATAAAAATTATGACTATTAGAATTGTTTATCTGTATTCTACATTAAAGAATTTACCACACCCTCTTGGAAATTCTAGACTAGTACATCAAATCAACTGTCAGAGAGCTGGATTGAAGCTGGGTTGCTACCAAGATGATAAAGAAAGAAGTTATTTTGATAAGCATAGAGAGTCTCCAGGTGGGAGCTGAACAAGACTTGGAAAAACCCAAGAAGATCTTTTCTGTTTAGAAACAGCCTTAGGAAAACCTGGGGGGCGGGGTTGGATGTTGGACATCTGTGCTGACGATGGAAAATGGAAGAAGGCTAAGCGATTTTTTGACAGTTTCATATATTTTTGAGGAATGACTTTAGCTGCTTGTGTAATAACTTTCAGAAAGGCTCTGTTGAAAAGAACTTGAAATAATTGAGTTCATCAAGCCAAAGAGACAGAAGATACAAAAGAAACAACCTTTGCCCTTAAAATCCTTATAGTCTAGCAGCAAAAAGGAATTTCAAAGGATGAATGCAGACTGTGGAAGATGTGGCAAGGGACCTGTAGAGGTGTTTGAGGAAAGGGTGGGGTGTTCAGCAGAGGCTGCCTGGAGGAGATGTCCAAGTTGGGGCTCAACAGGAATTACCCTGGTGAAGGAGCATATGGGGCATGAGAAGGGGGAATATTCCATGTCATATGAAAGCATGAGACAAACCCAGGCTTGAACCTGCATTTTGTGTGTGTGTGTGTGTGTCTATGTGTGTGCTTTGTGTGTGTAGCAGACAGGCTGGAGTGGATACAACAGAGTTAAGTGAGGAAGTACTTAACTTTCACACAGGGTCACTCCATTGCAAAACTTTGTCGGTCACTATTCTCAAAGATGTCCAGGCTCATTTCAAGTCTTTAGGACCACAGGCTGCTGAGGCGGAGGCACGGAGGATGGGATGGTGGCGAACTATGTTGGAGAGCTGGGCAGAAGCCAGGTCATTGTGAATTCTTAATTCTGCAATAAGGAATTTAACCTTTATGCTACAGAGCAGTTCTGCATTTCCCAATGAGCAGATCAAGCACATACTTAAGACATCAGTGAGTCAGAAGGGCAATAATTTTTATTTTGAAATGGTTTGTAAATTGTTTAGGTATCAAAGCAGTCATTTTAGGGGAAAAATAAAACCCCCGAAAACCAACCACTGGGTTTTCTTACACTTGTTCAGAATTTTGGCATTGCTTTCATTTTTGAATTACATACAGCAGGATGTGGGTAAGGTAGGAAGCAGTGTACGTTTGTCAGTATTTTGGGCAACTAAGATTTCTAAGTCCCTCTTTTTAAACATCTGCAGCCTTTGAAGAGGGTTAACATGAATGGATATAGGAGAGAGGACCTGGGGACCAGGGCGAGGTTTTGGTGTCAGATAAAATAAAGTAGTGCTTTTTCATATTCTATGACCACTGAGAAGTGCATACAAATAGTATCCTGGTATTATGAAGTTTTAAAGTTACTCACGGAAAATTATACTAAATCAATCCTAGTTCCTGCAGGAAACAAGTGGCACATTCAAATGGAATAATTCAGGAGAATTCACTAAAAGGACTGTTTATTGAATTGGAACTAGAATTATTTTGGTTTAAGGGAAAACAGTAGGGAATATTCTGGAACTAGCATGAAAGAGCAAAGTGTGGGAGCAGGAAGCAGAGTCTTGAGAGCCCAGCTGAAGTTTTGTAAGAGAACAAAATGAGGGAGCCATGAGAATACATACCTCTCATGAGGGAGCCATGAGAATACATACCTTATCCTTCTTCTTCTTCTCTTGCCTTCTGAGTTTCTAGCAATGTCTCCTGTTGAGCTGAACTCAAATGACATCCAGGGGTGTTAGATTGTACTGTGATGAATCCATAGAGCTCAACTTCTGTGGAGGGAGAGCAGGATGAAGAAGGATGGCAGGTGGATCCAGAGAGGCAAACAGAAAGTACCAGGCATAGATACACATTATAAGCAAACATTTTTAAAATAATTACTATCTGCACCAGGGGTCTGCAACTATGGCCCATGGTCCAAAGCCAGCTTGCAACCTGTCTTACAAATTAATGTTTATTGGAACATAGCCATACCATATTATTTAGCATTTACTATCATCTGTGGATGTTTGTGGTCTCCAATAGCAGAACTGAATAGTGTCAACAGACTGTCTGGTCTTCATATCTGATCCTTTACTGAAAACCTTTGTCAACCTTTGCTCTACCCAATAAAAAAGTAGACATTCACTTCCAAAAACAGTTTCATAGAAACAACAACATATTCCAGAGATGCTCTCATTACTTGCCCTCTGCTGTCATTAACTCTATATGACTTTCAGTCTTAACTTTTCTGTAGACACACACACACACACACACACAGTATTTACTGTATTAGAATCTCTACAAATTTGGAAATAATAAAAGTAACCAGCAAGTCATCTAGGGTGGCATATTTATGTGTTTTTTCTTAATATACCTGGTTCCTAGGATTTTAAAAATTATCTAGAATACTGATTTTAATTTTAATATTTGTTATTTAT